TTTCCCATCTGCAGAAAAGAGCTGAAGAGGGTATTCTCCACCTTACTGTCTTTAAATACCTGCAGTTTTCACATTCTAGCAAGCATAATTATAAGTAAACGTGAGTCACAGAGGCTTATATGTTAATGAATGAGTTTGTTCTTGAACTTTTTACTTGTATCAGGCAGCAGTGGGAAGTCAGTATATTTCCTACATTATTAATGCTCCAAAACAGATTAAAAATGAATTTACGCGAAGAACACTACGGGGCCCATAAGCTACGTGACCAGATTTGTTGTGTGAAAATAGACAAGCAGCTCTAGAGAAATAGCATTTCCTTCCATATTGGTAACTATGGGTGCTTTCAAATCAAGATACTGTTAGTGACTCCTAAAGAATGTATCCAGTGATTAAAGATAACTGCACAGAGGACCAAACTCATTACTTGGAATATGTGGATCATAGCCTACCCCTGATTTTAATGCAGAATTTGATTGGTTCAGTGAGGGTTCTATAAACAATGATCTGTTTTGTGCAACAACAGGAGAAAGAGACCATCACTGTTGGGAAATGACAGTATGTTAATCTAGATTTCTGCCAAACATTGCACTTACTAACCCATCGAGTGCAGTATCTTTCATACTTTGGGCCTGAATGTTGTAATACCCATATTTATCATAATTCTAAGAAGCTGCACCATGTAGTATGTAGTTTTCTTAACTTTCAATGCTCAATGTATTAAGGAAGTTTGTTCAGAGCTTTTAGATGCTGAAGCCAGTATAGATGAATAATTTAAGAATACAAAATACTTAGCAGTCTTGTTGGTTAGCTGGTATGTAGGATGGCAGCTAAAACCAAAAAGGAGTTTGGTTTTTTTTTTTTAATATATATGAATTTAAGAGTAGCAGGGTTGAAGCAAAATTCTAATGCCTCAATTTTCTTTCTCTTATTTTCAAGGAATCACTACAGTTCTAACAATGACCACTTTAAGCATCAGTGCACGCCATTCTTTGCCCAAGGTGTCCTATGCTACCGCCATGGATTGGTTCATAGCTGTGTGCTTTGCCTTTGTCTTCTCTGCACTTATTGAGTTTGCAGCTGTCAACTACTTTACCAATCTTCAGACTCAGAGAGCAATGAGGAAGGCAGCCAGGGCAGCAGCACTGGCAGCAGCACTATCAGCAGCAACTGTACCGGCAGAGGACGAGATTGTCTCGGTAATTGCTTGCTTTTCTGATAATAAGCATCATATAGGAAGAGGCAGCTGAAGTAGTGAATGCAAAACAATATTAAAGTGATCTTAACCTGATACAGATTATGTAACCAGATCATGTCTATTTATCAAAGACATTGTTCTTATTTCAGAAAATGAAAATATTTCATTTATTCACACTGTTTATTTAAATTTGAGATATGATTTACTAGAGAGATGTTTATTTGGCAAGATATTTAAAGAAAGCCATTAGACTGTTACCCATAATACTTCTCTTGGGCAATGCTGTAGGCGGTGTGGTCAGGCAGCTGTGGTTCTCTCAGTAAGTCTGCAGAATTTGTAGGACACTGTACAATGGAATGAACATGTGCATTAGCCAGATGATTATGGGATCACTGCAGTACACTGGTATATACCATAAGTGGGTCATCTGAAAAGGAGATAAATTAGCCTTTACATAAACTTGGCATCTGTTACTTTCATAAAAATCTGTGTTGGTGGAAGCTTGGGAAAGAAACATAAATGTGAAGATTAAGTGTAGATTTTAGTACATGCAAAAGACAGAAAGGCTTTCTAGTATCAAAAAATGTATGTCAGAATTGCTTGCAAATATTATTCCTTACATCTCAGGCTAAGTAACGAATGCTGTCTCAAAACTTATATTTATAATATATTTAATCACTATAGCCCTCCTGTTTTCAAAACGACTTTTACTATAGTCACATTTCCCATTTTGAGAGGACAACAGAATTTGAATGACCGTTTGCAAAACTTTTGAGTCTGTAGTTCAATAAGAATGTCAGCCTAAGAGCTATTGAATATCAGAGCAACACCGTATCCACCATACAGTAATTTTTCCATATTTGCATATAAACAGCAGATAAAGTTATAACATTTAGGTACATTCAAACCCTTAAATTCATAATTGGTGAGTTCCATATAATAGTGAAACCAAAGTTCCACAGCATCTTGCCACTAGTCCTCATTGGAGCTAATCAACAAATGTTCTTCACTTCAACTGGGAAGTATTGTGCTTGTAAAGCCATATTGCATTTTGCTTACAATTTTATTACTATTGAAAAAAACTGAAGACATTGTAAGATATAATAAAATAAAGAAATGCATTTTGTTTTTGCTAAATGTGTAACTGCAGAAAGAAACAAATCTTTATACATTTTGATTCAGAACCACAGCTTTTTTGGTTTTTTTGGGTTTTTTGGTTTGGTTTTCTTCTTTTTTTTTTAAATCACAGTTATATAAAGAAAATACAAAAGAAAGTCCTAAAAATTTAAAAGGAGCTTGAATGCAAATGTTCATAGAATCGTGCACTGATTTTGAAGTGATAGCAGAAAGACTGATTTAGTTTCAACAATATTTGTAATGTTCATATCCACATTTATTTTAACTAGTAAACTTCTATAGTTATATTTAAACCTTACAAAAATCAACAAGAGGAAAAGAGAGTATGCATTTGCCAATATTTAGGACATACATCCTGCCCCTGCCCCAATATCATGACATTTGACTGAGAAGTACTCTGGACTGAACGAGCAGAACATTGCAACAATAATGTAAAGTATGTAAAATTCTCTTGACTGAAGGAACTTTAAAATATACTAAAGCTTCATTTTTATTCTTTTGTTGACTTTTTTTGAGGGCAAGTTAAAGAGATCACTTGGCTTTATGTAGCATGAGGAAAATGTTGATAGCTGCTACATAATGAAGAGGAACAACAGTTCTGATCTTTCCTACACACACTTCCTTATTCAAGTTTGAGTTAATCATAGGGAGGTCCCTGCTGAGTGATACAAAACCAGTTTGGCCTACTCTGCACGTGCTACTGTTGGTGAATTCACAGCAGATGCTACAAAGCTACCAGCACCACCCACTCCTCTTCCCAGTCTCTAGAAGACAACTGTTTAAAAAAATAACCCTCTGAATATGCTCAGATATACTAGAACATACTCCTAATGATTGTGGCTCTTCCATACTTGTGGGTGAGATTTACGTGGTCTCTATATCATTGCAGACCAAGTTAAGCCAAACTACAATATTGCTGTTGAACAAATTAAGGAAAGAAAAATAAACTAAAAGACTTCAAGTTTCTTATCAAGGGCTTCAGCCACAAAAAAGCACAGAGCCAAACTGAAGACACACTTTCCTCATTTTGTAAATATTTACTCGTTAGCTTTTCCAAGTAAAAACAAGCAAAAAATAAGCATCTGGAAATAAAAGAAACATCTAGGAAGCACACTGCAACCATTTCCTCAAGGAAGTTATTTACAACTAGCTAACAATATACAGATTTAGAAGAGTAGTAAACCCCATAACATCAAGATCCCAAGGTAAACTCAGTCACTAAATCAGCCAACAGTGTCCACAAAATTCCATAGTCCTGATCTTCCTCAAAGCTTGTATTATCCAAGACAGTAAATTTCAAGCCTTGTAAGTCCCCCACTTTTTTCTCACAGGACCACTTCTGTATGAGAACACACCTCTGCGGTAATAGATAAAGCAAAATCAATGAGATCATAAAAATGAAGGGTACTTACAGTTGAAAGAAAGGTGACGTAGTCAAAATGGCTTCTAGAAGAATTAACTATCGGATTTAAAAGATCCCATTCAAGAAGGACATGCTGGGAAAAAGGAGTAATGACAGGATAAGAGATTTTAAGCAGCTTTTTTTTTTTTCTTTTCTTTCTTTTTTTGTGTGATGAACGTTAAGGGGAAAAGAACTTTTGTATGTTGTCACATAATGGGATGTATTGTAGTCAGTGATATAATATCAGCTGAAACAGACCTGAACTAGCTAATTTGAATGCTAACAGTGAAGTTAGCCCAGCCTGATTGTGTGACTGTGACGATTTTGTCAGGATTATCATCCTTTACTGAGCTTTGTACTTCTGTAGCTACATTACTTGTCTTAGGGCAGTTATGTTTAAATAAGGCACACAGCATAATACTCAGTTTCTGTCTTAATGTAGATTTAGGAGCTGTTTCTGAGGTCCTGATTTCCCCTTTATTGCCCCATACCCCCCAACTTTTACCATTTGTTTGCCTTTAAATTCTTTCATCAATTTTCTTCCAGATTTTTCTCTTTTTTTGGTTGCTACAATGCCCCAGTCTTATTTTTTAACATTTGCATAATTTATCTTAGCTCTCCTGCTCTTCTTTTTGCCTGTTGGCCCCATTTACTCCACCTCTTTTCTAAAAATGCTGTTTTCTAATTCACTAAAAAAAAAAAATCTATTAGAATCCCTGTCTTATACATTAAAATGTTTTTTAACCGTCTACTTGATTTGATTTTTAAAAGAAAAATTAAATCTTTCCCTTTTCATACCCTGGGCTTTGGTACCTGTCTTTTGTAATCTGTGCTTTTTTTTTTTTTTTCTTTTTGCTCTTTTAAATAGGATGGTGAAGTTTTCCATCCTCTTGTAATGCTTATATTTTTTTTTGTGATTTTTAAGTGCATGAAATTTGTCAGAATTTTAGATATATAAAAGGGCAGGTGTAGGATGAACAGTGTCAAAAATGCTTACTGTTCTGCATTTATAGAAGTCAGATGGTATGTTTACATTATTTCTGAAGATTGTGAAGGTTTACTTAGTTTTGGAGAGTCCATTTCTAAAAATAAAAGTGAAAAAGGGAGATGTACAACTGCCAATGGAACTCTGCTATCAGTAGCAACATTAAGAATCGCAACAAACTATATGCTTTTAATAATCTGTTATCTTAAATTGCCTGAAGAGTGGCTAAAGAACATTGTGGTGGAAATGACCTTAGGCCATCTGAACTAGTACTTTCTGTATGACAGGAGACCCGTTCTCCTGCTTTGCATAAGAGAAGCCCAGGGAGACAGTTTTGGTATAAATGAAAATCCAAAGGAGTTATAAGACAGCAAGTTAGAAGGTTTTACCGCTTGAGTGAGGGCCTAAACTCATCAAGATAAACATATTTACAGAATATATTTGAGCTTTTTTAATTCCAAATTAACTATGTTTCTTGAAAAAAATATTAAAAAAATCTTCAAAATATTATCAAAAAGCTTCCTTCTCCCTTCAGTCTAGTTTATTTTATTCAAAATATTGCTTTATTCAAATGAACAAACTTTTTCTCACAAGTTTTTATATTGCAACCAAAAATCTGTACACTCAGAAAAGAACGATGCCAGAATACCAAATTCGGCTCTACTGTACTAATAAAAGTAGGAGAAACTCTGCTCAACTCATTGGACTACACTGGTCTCCGTAAGAGAGACAATGGTCCGACTCTGTGCTCAGTTATCTGATGACAGCCCAGCATGCCTGTTCTGGTTCCAGGAAAGCCGCTCTATTTACCTCAGCTAACTGAGCGCAGAATTTGGCTTGCTCTCTGTCAGCTGCAGGCAATCCCTGTGTGAAACAGAAAACTATGGGTGTTCCACTCCAAAAATACGATGGCAACAAGCTGAGTAGTCATCTGGACCCTGACAGAAACCTGGTTTTATTCATATGGTGACCAAGCTTGTTCTAGCATGTCAAAACCAAACATTATGTATATATATATATACACACACATATATGTAAAAAAACATTATGGCATTTAGCTTTTTAATCAATTTCAAATGTATATTTTCTATATCAATAATTTTTTCATCATTATGGCTTCCTTTATCCAGGAATATCCCAATATTGGAAGTTGCAGGGGAAGGGGCATTGGTGATACTGTCAGGAGTGCACCATTTGAAGTAATTTTCTGAGAGATAGTCAGGGAGTACACACCATGGATCAAAAGATATCCTTTCCATGTGACAGACTACATATAAAAGACAAAAGATTGTTACAGGGTGGTGGTAGCTTGATTACAGTTATGTTCTAAAAGACCTGTTGTTTTAACAGAAAACAGCACAGAGCAGTGGAATACTGCTGGGAGAGCTTCCTTCTCCCTACAAATAGCCCTGTCCCTGTGTTTCAAAATAATATGGCTCGGGCAGAAAAGGATTCTCATTCTCTTTTAATAACTCCG